CTTTCCCAGCATTATTGTCTTTTCCAATGGGTCTTTCCTTCTCATGATACATCTGAAGTGAAACAGTCTCATCTTGGCTTCCAAGGAGGTTTCCATCTTGATCTGCTCTAGGACCCACTTGTTTGTCCTTTTGGCTGTCCATCGGATTGTCAGCACTCTTCTCCAGCATTACATCTCAAATGAATTGATTTTCTTCCTACCATCTTTCTTAATTGTCCAGCTCTCACATCCAGACATGGTATGGAGGAGTAGCTTATACCCCAGAAGACAGGATGAAAATTCAAAATGACCTTAACAGATTAGAAAGCTGGGCCAACACTAACAAAATGCATTTCAACACAGAAATGTAAGGTACTGCACTTAGGGCAAAAAAAATGAAATGCACAGATATAAGATGGGGGACCCCTGGCTTAACGCGACTACATGTGAAAGGGATCTAGGAGTCCTAGTAGACCACAAGTTGAACATGAGTCAACAGTGTGATGCCGCATCTAAAAAGGCCAATGCAATTTTAGACTGCATTAATAGAAATATAGTATCTAGATCAAGGGAAGTAATAGTGCTACTGTATTCTGCTTTGGTCAGTCCCCACCTGGAATACTGTGGCCAGTTCTGGGCACCACAATTTAAAAAGGATGTTGAAAAACTAGTGTGTCCAGAGGAGGGTGACTAAAATGGTGAAGGGCCTGGAAACCATGCTCTATGAGGGAATTGGGTATGTTTAGACTCGAGAAGAGAAGGTTAAGAGGGGATATGATAGCCCTCTTTAAATATTTGAAGGGATGTCATATTGAGAAGGGCGCTAGCTTGTTTTCTGCTGCTCCAGAGAATAGGACCCAGAACAATGGGTGCAAGCTCCAGGAAAAGAGACTCCACCTCAACATTAGGAGGAACTTCCTGACAGTGAACACCCTCCCTCCCACCTTCCCTCCCACCTTCCACTCCGGGTGTTCCTCGGAGTGGAACACCCTCCCTCGGAGGGTGGTGGAGTCTCCTTTGGAAGTCTTTAAACAGAGGCTGGATGGCCATCTGTCAGGGATGCTTTGATTTTGAGTTCCTGTATGGCAGATTGGGGTTGGACTGGATGGTCCTTGTGGTCTCTTCCAACTCTATGATTCTATGATTCTAATATGGAATACAATTGTTTGTATGATACTAACTTTTGTGCTGAGTTGTATCTTTGCCTTTTAGAATCTTTTCCAGTTCTTTCATAGCCACCCTCCCCATTCTTATGAGCATTGCAGACCAGCCTAAAGGGCCGGCCTAGTGGTGGAGTTGGGGTGGGGTGCCAGCCACCCCAACTCCATCCTGATGCTGTCCTGACATCGCATGCCCATTTGCACGGCACGCAGCTTCAGGATGCCCTCCTGGTGCCAAAGAGTTGTGGCACTGGCTCTTAGGGCAGCCTTTTGCTACCCCCAAAAGGAGGATCTGGGCCACTCTTTTGGGAGTGGCAAAATGGAGGATTGGGGTCATGGCATGGGGTTGCTGCGGCCCCAATCCGCCGCTAGCAGGGGCAGCCCAAAGCCGCCCCAAACGGGCCATCTGTAGAGGCCCTTAGTCTTCTTCTGATTTCCTGACTGCAGTCCCCATTTCTA